TATTATTATTATTATTATTATTATTATTATTACTATTGTTGTTGTTGTTATTGTTGTTTTATAATTGTTGTTTATAATTTGTACAATTAACCTCCCTGTGGTTCGACCCCGGTCTTGCCGGGTTATTTATTACTTCGACACTCCTGCACTTGGGAGAAGACATCAATCTTTTAGTCGTGTCAAGTTTTTGGCGCCGTTGCCGGGGAGGTAAGTTCTTGTATAAATTATAGTATTTATTTTATTTTCTCTTTTCACTTTTCTTGTATATAACTTTGTTTCTTTTCTTTTGTTTCTTTTTATTTTGTTTTCTTCCTCCTTCTTTTGCTTTGTTGTTCTTCTTTTTATTTTATTCCTACACGTGCATGAGAGTGTGGTCACGTACATCAAGTGGTAGACTTTGTAGGGTATCCTCATCATTTTCAGAAAATATGGCCGAAGAAGATAATCAATCACTTCATAATGAGAATAATGAGAATAACCGTGCTAGAACACTTAGAGACCACATGAATCCCACAAGAACAAGTGCACCATCATGCATAGTTTTTCCTCCTGATGCATCTCATTTTAATTTTAAACCAGGTATTATTCAACTTTTACCTTCTTTTCATGGTTTAGAATTGGAAAATCCATACTTGCATTTAAGGGAATTTGAGGAGGTCTGCAACACATATAATAATTTAAATTGTAGCATGAACACCATCAGATTAAAGCTTTTTCCTTTTTCATTAAAAGATAAAGCTAAAACATGGCTACAAAATTTAAGATCAGGATCCATTCGTGCTTGGGATGAAATGCAACAACAGTTTTTAAAAAAGTTTTTCCCATCTTATAGAACAAACTCTTTCAAAAGACAAATCACCATTTTCACTCAAAAATCAGGAGAAACATTTTACCAATGTTGGGATAGGTATCGAGACTTTCTTAGTACTTGCCCTCATCATAGTTTTGAAACATGGAGATTGGTTTCACATTTCTATGAAGGGTTAACACCTAAAGATAGGCAAATGGTTGAATTGATGTGCAATGGAACTTTTGAAGATAAAGACCCTGATAAAGCAATGGAGTACTTAGACTTGTTAGCTGAAAATGCTCAAAATTAGGACACCGCGGGTACTTATGAGGCACCGAGAAAAACTCAACCTCATACATCTAGTGGAGGTATGTACAACCTTAGGAAAGATCATGACCTTCAAGCTAAGTTTGCATCTTTAGCTAGAAAAGTCGAGGCACTAGAATTGAAAAAAAGTGGTCAAGTAAAATCTGTTGAAAACATTATGTGTCAAATCTGTGAAACAAATGAACACTCAACCAATGATTGTCCAACCTTGCCTTCTTTTAAGGAATGTCTCCATGAACAAGCCCATGCTTTAAACAGTTTCCAAAGGGTCAACCACAACCCACACTCCCAAACATACAACCCTGGTTGGAGAAATCATCCAAATTTCAGTTGGAAAAGTGAGAACAACAATGCACAAACTTCACAACCACCATTTCAAGCACACCATAATTTCTAAAATTCTCATGGATATGCACCTCCTTATGCTCCACCTCCTAGAAGAAATCTTGAGGAAATATTGCATGCATTTATTGAAAAGTAAGAGACAATCAATACTCAACTTGCTCAAAACATGATAGATTTTAAAGATACTCTTGTAAAATTAACATCTGCTCTCAGTTTCCAAGAGAAAGGTAAGTTTCCATCTCAACCACAACAAAATCCTAAGGGGCAATACAATGCAAATGCAAGTAGTTCCGGAAGCCAACACATGGATCAAGTCAAATCAGTCACTACTCTGTGCAGTGGTAAGGTTATTGAAAAACCCTCTATTAAACCTTATGAGAAAGATGATGAGTCAATCTCTGAGGGTAAGGAAGGGGATGAATCTGAAAATTGCAAAGAAACAACTGATTCACCGCCAGCACTTCCATTTCCTCATGTCATGACTAAACAAAAGAAAGTCAATCACAACTCTGAAATTTTTAAAATTTTCAAACAGGTAAGAATCAATATACCTTTGCTGGATGCTATTAAACAGGTTCCTTCCTATGCTAAATTTTTGAAAGATCTATGCACTATGAAGAGGAAACTGAATGTGAAAAAGAAAGCCTTTCTAGCTGAACAAGTAAGTGTCATTCCTCAAAAC